AGGCTCGTAGCCACCACAGCGGCCCACGAGGTCTTTGGACGGGTGCGAGGGCTGGGAACCCCTCAATAGTCAAAATTTAAACACGTGCAAAATATTGAACACAAACACACTGGGGTATATACACAGCGAAGGTCGTATGTTACAGACTAAAAGGTGACGATTGTTTTTGTTGCGTTACTTTATAATAAACCACGCTTACAAGCTAAACCATTCAGATTATTATTCAAAGTTTATGATGTAAATTATAATAGAACACACTTGTTTGCTAGAAGCACCATGTTCAACACGAGTGTCCTTAATATGTTTATTAAACAGGTTCAGAACAGTATAAACTTGCACCTCTTAGTCCAAATCAAACTCGACATCTTCATTTCTATACTTCGAACTGTATGTCAATCTTCTAAACGTGCAGCAGTTTACAGGACATAGCCGGGTGAATATTGGCAAATTCAAAGGAAGCACGGAATTATGCATACACTTATGCAGTGAGATGTACATACGTATTAAGGTTTAATTATAATGGCCAGATTAGCTAAGCTATGTTGCTAGATATGGCCATTGTGCTTAAGCCTAAGTAGGAATATGCTGAATCATTGTTCGCTTCCATTTGAATAGGGATGGGCATCTCCTTGAATAATGATGTGCATGTTGTTAGTCTGTACATTTACAATGGCCTGTAAGCTGTGATCAATGTATCGGATTTATCTGTGAAATACCGTCTAAGATATTGCAATGCTGATGGAGATAATCAGTAAGTGCATTGAATGTGGAGAGGTTACCAGCTCCTCGCACCTGTCCAGAGACCTCGTGGGCGGCTGTGGTGGCTACGAGCCTCCCAGGACATTGCTCACATCCACCGCAGCGTTTCCGTCCGGCATCGCCGATGCGGTAGGGGGTTGTTTAGACAGAACTTTACTCGTTTCTTAGAAGGAGGCAATCCCTGTTGTTTGACATTCCCCTGCCACGAGTCAAGTTTATACTATTCCCCTGCCCATATCAACACGAGTGTTCTGAAATATACGTATGAAACAAGGACAGCACGGTATAAACTTGCACCTCAAAGGTCCAAACCACAAGTTTAATACTTCAGACCGCATTTCCCTGGTAACGGCTTTGAACTGGCAGCAGTTTGCAGCACATTGCAGGGTGAATTTTAGCAAATTATTTTAATAAACACAATAGACAGGAAGGACAAGTTTCAAAGGGCTCGCATAATGCACACGCTTAATGTACATTGCCTCAGTAATTCCCCCCCCCCCAAATCTGGCTGTCGACTGACTGAAGCTAGATTTAATTACAAGCGAAACGTCGTACTCACATTGTAAATGTTGTGGCTTGGCTCTCCAACACACCGGTGTGCTGTACTAGTGACGAATTTGCAAGTTCTGTTTACGTGACAATCCTTACTAGTTGGCCATGTCGGGTGGTGGCGGGTTTCAACGACACATTTGTATATTTAAGCGATCTAACCCAAAAAACATTTAATATGGACATTATAATAAACCACGCTTACAAGCTAAACCATTCAGATGATCATTCAAAGTTCATGGCAGAATTTTTAATATAAAACACTCGTTTTCTAGAAGCACCCCGCTCAACACGATTGTCATTAAATATATTTATAAAACAAAGTCAGTAAAGTATAAACTTGCACATTTTATTCCAAATCAAGCTCGAGATCACCAATTTTGATATTTCAGGCTGTATGTCGCTTTATAATCCTCTAAACTTGCAGCAGTTTAGAGGACATTGGGGGTGAATATTTGCAAATTAACACGAAGCACGGAATTATGCATGGAGATGCACATCCTTATTCAAACGGAAGTGTACAATTATGCGTGAGATGTACATACGTATTATGTTGCTGGATATGCGGATTGTTAACCTTATCTTTGACAATCACATTTGCACATCACTATTCGAATATTACTTTAATCCTAAGCTGTATGTCTATCTATACCATCCACTTCTATCGGTATCTTACACCCATTATATGTACTGTATGCGTACAGTATACGTACTGTATATCACCATTGTACAGCTTACTACTTTACATGTGTTCTATGCTCAATAGAATTGCAAGTAGTCATATTCTGGGTACATGGGCATGGTTATAGACTAAACAGTATTAGAGTTAGAGAATTACAATGACAGTAACTAATTACAGTGCGTCATCCCTTTACAATGCACAGTGCTAAAACGCCTCTAATTGCATATATCACAAACGAACAATTCAAAGCCAAGCTTAAAGTCTAAAACAAGTCTAGAACAAATCTAGAACATTTATATAACGATCAAAAACAACCTTTGGGTCCTTGACCTGTAAAATGCAACAGCGTGTGTTACACGCAGCAATCCTTCCGAGACGCCATTAACCACGTGGCTGGTCTACACGTGCGGTTCTTCATTAACCCTGCCGGCCACCTACAGGCCCGACTCAGACATTACATGCTGCTGTACACACATGCATTGATGCATTGCACAGCACATCAGGACTTTCACAGAACCACACTTTACTCCCTTGCTGTACAAGGACACCCTTAAAAGAGTGATCCATTCCTAATGTGCCACACACGCCTCAGGCGGACAGAGCATGGGTCGGGGCACGAGTGGGTGAGTGGGTGGGTGGGTGAGTTGGTGAGTGGGTGAATGGGTGAGTTGGTGAGTGAGTGGCTGAGAGGGTGAGTGAGTGGGTGAGTGAGTGGGTGAGTTGGTGAGTGGGTGAGTGAGTGAATGGGTGAGTGGGTGAGTGAATGGGTGAGTTGGTGAGTGGGTGAGTGGTGAGTTGGTGAGTGGGTGAGTTGGTGAGTGGTTAGGGGCACGAGACGGCAAGTGGCTGAGTTGCTGAGTGGCTAGTGGCTGAGTGGCTGATTGGCTGAGTTGCTGATTGGCTGAGTGGCTGATTGGCTGAGTGGCTGAGTGGTTGAGTTGCTGAGTGGCTGAGTGGCTGATTGGCTGAGTGTCACCGCGGGAAGCCGCCATCTTGTCTCCACGGGAAGCCGCCATCTTGTCTCCATGGGAAGCCACCATCTTGGCTATGCGGGAAGCCGCCATCTTGTCTCCGTGGGAAGCCACCATCTTGGCTATGCGGGTAGCCGCCATCTTGTCTCCATGGGAAGCCACCATCTTGTCTCCACGGGAAGCCGCCATCTTGTCTCCGTGGGAAGCCACCATCTTGGCTATGCGGGAAGCCGCCATCTTGTCTCCGTGGGAAGCCGCCATCTTGTCTCCATGGGAAGCCACCATCTTGGCTATACGGGAAGACGCTATTGTGTCGCCACCGCGTCAAACACCGTCGGCGGAGTACGGGGAGTCGGGGACCCGCAGCCATACGGGGCGCAGTAGAGGATATACTGGCCGCCGACATTATTTCCCCGTCCAACAGTCCGTGGGTTGCTCCAGTGGTCCTTGTGAAGAAAAAGGATGGGAAATTGCGGTTTTGTGTCGATTTTCGCAGGTTGAATAAAGTGTCCGTTGCGGATGCGTACCCCCTGCCGTGTATGGATGACTCCCTCGATGCCTTGTCTGGGGCGAAGTTTTTATCTACTCTCGATCTTTCATCGGGATTTTGGCAACTTTCCCTGGACGAGTCCTCGAGGGAAAAGATGTCTTTCCGTACGCCGCAGGGCTTGTTTCAATTTGTCTCCCAATGGGCTTGAACGCCGCCCCGGCGACGTTCCAGCGATTGATGGAACTCGTGTTGACCGGTCTGCAGTGGGACACGTGTCTGATATATTTGGACGATGTTATCGTCTTCAGCCGCACGTTTGAGGAACATCTGCGGAGATTGGACGCGGTGTTTGCGAGGATGCATTCCGCTAAATTGAAGTTTAAGCCTAAAAAGTGTCACCTGTTGCAGCGATCCGTGCGCTATTTGGGCCACATAGTCAGCTCGGACGGGGTGGCCACGGACCCGGAGAAGACGGCGTGCGTCCGGAACTGGCCGACTCCAGCCTCAGTGGGGACGTGCGTCGGTTCGTCGGGTTCGCTTATTACCGCAGGTTCGTGCCGGACTTTGCCACGATCGCGAGGCCTTTACACCTCCTTACGGCGAAGGGCCGGAGGCTCAGTTGGGGACCGGCGGAGGAGGCGGCATTTCAGAGCTACGCGATCGGTTGGCATCAGCACCGACGCTGGACTATCCGGATTTTACTCGGCCATTTATCCCCGATACCGACGCGAGTGACACGGGGATTGGGGCTGTCCTGTCCCAATCTAGGGACGGCGTCGAACGCGTAGTGGCTTACGGAAGCCGCGTGCTGTCTCCGGCGGAGACCCGCTGCTGCGTTACTCGTCGGGAACTCTTGGCCATAGTACATTTTCTTCGCCAATACCGGCCGTATCAGGCTACACAGGGGATCTTTGTCTTTGTGTTAGGTGCTAGCTAACAGCACTTGCCCCAACATTCTGTTCAGGCTACACGGGGGATCTTTGTCTGTGTTGGGAGCAAGTTTGAGTGGCCGCGTAGTCGTGGGAGTTGACCGGGCACCTGCTGCTGACAGTCGTTAACTACGGTTAGACAGACGCTGATAGAGACACACACAGACTGACAAGACAGGCGGACAGACACAGACGAGAGCAACACAGAGACAGGTACAGAGACGACGTGGACAGAGAGACACAGGCAGAGAGACACACACAGAGGCGAACAGAGACACAGACGGACAGAGACAGAGATATGTTGAATCGAACACGTTCAACTAGCTCCATTGTCAAAGATTCATCAATCTTTGCCCATCCCCGCAAGTCGTTCTTGTTTCTATTTGTGTGTGGTGTGTACGTGTAAGCAATGTGGGATATCGATGTACACAGAAATGAACAAGATCAGCAGACAAGACGTCTTTCATTTATTCGGTCTCTCCACGAAACAAAGGAACGTTTTACACAAAATATAAATCCCACGGCCTTCTGCGAGTCCATCATTAATGAGAATGCATCTCCTCTACGTGAAACGTTTAAGCGGTACGCCTTGTAACTGATGGATGATCCGAGCATGCTCCCTATTGCATGCTCCCTACTCGAGGCAGATACTTCCTTGAAACACAAAAGTACCCTTTGACCTGTATCACAAGAATAACGGGTCTCACCTGAGTAATCTCTACAGGCTACTTACAAACACAAATACACACTTTGTCCCAACATCACTTATTCGATGTTTGACCCTCAGACAAAATGTTCAATGTACGCGCACAATCAGACAAGTATTCATTCTAAACTACTGACAGGCATATTGACATTGAACTACTGCAGTGAAACTTACTGCATCGGTAAAGTCACGGAGAAAGAAATTAAATAACAGAATACGACGTTTCGATTGGAATACAAGCAACCATCATCAGGTGCAACAAGTGAATGAGAAAACAAACATAGTGAACTTAGAAATATAATGCAACACAACACAGAGTCAGCCAACACAAGTCAACACCCTACCTGGTTGATTACGTTCTTACAAAATTGAACAATTTAGTTTAGATAACATCGTATTAACAAGGAGCTATTTAAAGAATGCACCCTCTACTGAACAGCGGATGTGAAACATAAAATTGTGTCATTCAAAACGAGTAGGTTTGGCGTCTGGGTCAAAATGTAGCAAATTCTAAACATTACCTACAAACTCCACAACTGAGATGCCACATCAACCATCGCCCCCTACTGACAGGCTCTTGTCCACACGCAGGCCGGTGCAGGGCCACCACCTTGTGCCACACAAGGGCAGCTGCCACTTGGGGTGCTCCTCGAGTGTTTGAGACGAGATACGATACAAAACTCCGAGTTGCTGAGCGGATTAAGTAAGCACCATGTAAAAGCAATTATAACAGAGTGAATGCTTGGGAGCTTATTGGCTCTCGCTCCTGGTTAGAGATCTACCCAACACACAGGTCCACAAAGACTGGCCGCTCTTACCCTGCAGGTTGCACCTAGGAACTGAGTGTTCAACTTCACATTCTTGTCATTAAAGGCCTGTGACAAAGGTGCATCTATTGGAGCGACATCGTCTCAAGCTTACACATCTACCGGGTCTCCATTTGACTTCGTGTTGTCTCAGAGGAAGTCCACCCACACCTCCACTTCCACAAACTGCTGGGAGTTCCCTCGCTCTGCCTCACAGTCAGAATTCTCCTCCTGCTTCACGTTGCCTCCATCGATGTGAAGGTCACATTTTGGACTTGAATCTTCATCTTCACATTTTACCTTCACTTCTTCACATTTCACCATCACTTCTTCACATTCCACCTTCACCTCTTCACATTTCACCTCGATACCTTTAAAAGTGTCCAAGCTGGGATTTTCTTCCGGTTCTTGTTTCACGAGGAATGGGCTCATTGCAGAACTTTGACTTTCACAAGCTGTCTTCAGACTCCAGTCCTTGTGGATCTTCTGACGCTTGTGTGTTCTCTGGTGTACTTGAAGACGTGTTGACCGTGTAAATGCCTTCCCACACAGAGTGCACTTGAAGAGTTTCTCTCCCGTGTGTGTTCTCTGGTGTTTTTTAAGATGTGATGACCGTGTAAATGCTATCCTGCACGGAGTGCACTTGAAGAGTTTCTCTCCCATGTGTATTCTCTGGTGTGCTTGAAGATTTGATGACTGTGTAAATGCCTTCCCACACACAGTGCACTTGAAGGGTTTCTCTCCTGTGTGTGTTCTCTGGTGTTTTATAAGAGAAGATGACTGTGAAAATGCCTTCCCACACACAGTGCACTTGAAGGGTTTCTCTCCCGTGTGTGTTCTCTGGTGTATTTTAAGATAAGATGACCGTGAAAACGCCTTCCCACACACACTGCACTTGAAGGGTTTCTCTGTTGTGTGTGTTCTCTGGTGTTTTTTAAGATCTGATGACTGTGCAAATGCCTCGTCACACACAGTGCACTTGAAGGGTTTCTCTCCTGTGTGTGTTCTCTGGTGTGCTTGAAGATTTGGTGACTGTGCAAATGCCTTCCCACACACACTGCACTTGAAGGGTTTCTCTCCCGTGTGTGTTCTCTGGTGTATTACGAGATGATGTAAAAGAGAAAACGTCTTCCCGCACAGAGTACACTTGAAAGGTTTCTCTCCTGTGTGTGTTCTCTGGTGTCTTTTAAGATTATTTGACTGTGAAAATGCCACCCCACACACACTGCACTTGAAGGGTTTCTCTCCCGTGTGTGTTCTCTGGTGTTTTACGAGATGATGTAAAAAGAAAAAGCCTTCCTGCACAGAGTACACTTGAAAGGTTTCTCTCCTGTGTGTGTTCTCTGGTGTCTTTTAAGATTATTTGACTGTGAAAATGCCACCCCACACACACTGCACTTGAAGGGTTTCTCTCCCGTGTGTGTTCTCTGGTGTTTTACGAGATGATGTAAAAAAGAAAAAGCCTTCCTGCACAGAGTACACTTGAAAGGTTTCTCTCCTGTGTGTGTTCTCTGGTGTCTTTTAAGAGTAGATGACTGTGAAAATGCCTTCACACACACACTGCACTTGAAGGGTTTCTCTCCTGTGTGTGTTCTCTGGTGCTGTGTCAAATTTCCAGTCCGCTCCGTGCTGTATCCACACTGGTCGCATTGTTGCCTTGCCGTACCGAGCTGTGCTGACTGCCTTTGCTCCATCAGACCAAGCGTAAGCTGTAGACAGAAAAAAAGTAATATCCACACCACCTACACGTCAGTATCGAGGCACAGATGAATGCAAAAACACAGCCACGCGTGACTTAACACGTCTATACTTATTCATATATTCATGATGTCGTGAAAAAGTTTCCCAAATTCATCACACAGGCTGTTATTGCACACAATGAGAGGGCAAATGGTCATAAATATGCCTGGAAGCCCTCGTATCTCCATGGTGAGATGTCAACTACCTCGCCTGGTATACAGGAAGTCGTGGGTTCGATCCTGACCCTGACGCCTGCTGCTGCTGTATATTTGGAGTTTGCGTGTCTCTCTCTCCGTGGTCGCGTGGATTTTCCTCCGAATCTCCCGGGTTTCCCCTCCACATTTAGAGTCAACATCAGCACGCGTGCAGCGTCTTTGACCGATACACATTTCCACACGTAGTCTTGGTTCTTTCGGTAAAGTTGCGTAGATAGGAAATAACAGTAATAGATAATAGAATTAAATTAATAAAGACCACTTGTGTTGCGATCGAAACGTCGTGGTTTTTATATATTTACAATTTTGTTTATTTTGATTAATTTTATTAACCGTTATTTTTATTTAATTTTCTATCCACGTGACTTTGCCGAAAGAACCAAGAATATTAATTGCTGCAGTTACGAAAGTTTTAAGTCAAAACACTGACACACGCGTTGACAAAACCCACCTTGTGTCGTGGGCATGTCGCCCACAACACAAGGTGTATCGCAGCTCAAGCGGGCTTGGCCTGGTAAAAAAAAGAAAAAAAACTGCGTTAATATTTACAATAAACCAAAGTTACAAAGTAGTGAAGACAAATTAAACATAAGCGAGAGAATTAAAGCAAACGCAACCAGGCGAGGGCAGGAGGCAAGGCCCCGCGTGTCTAGGCCCCGCGTTGTAAAGTTCCAACTTGGACATCGATTCACAAGCTGCTGCTGCTCTATTGACATCCCTACGAGAGAGAGCGCGAGGCTCTAGCTGGGTAAACAACAACAACCACAACAACAACAACAACCACAACAACCACCACGACGATGAGAATTTCTCACCTCGGATTTCACTGCACGCGCGGAGCGACAGCTTCCTGTTACCTCGTGACGTCACGCGGTAGCAGGTGACATGACGTCACTTCCTGGGTACGAGACACGCCCCTCCCACAACGAGCGGCTCTGTAACTAAATGAGAATATGAATAAATTATGTTAATGAGACCGTCGCAATAAACTCGTGACGTCTTTAACGAACTCTTTATGTTAATGAGCCGCCAGTCACTGGGCGTGGCTTTGCCCAAATAAGGATTGGCAACTGGAACGATCTCTGCAGTGACCGAGGCGGAGGTGACGTCACGTTCAAGAGCGCGGTGGACGGGGGGGAGGGGGGTGACATCCTTGGTGACATGACGTCACTAGCGAGGTACACCTCCCTTGGCGTTTCACGCGGATGACGTAATGCTGAGTGGTGACGTCACAGAGCGGGGTTGGAGTCTAAGTTGATTTAGATCCATTTTCCATTGCTCCATCTCTTGAACAGAGACCCCTTGGGTGTGTGTACACTGTGTGTGTGTGTGTACACTGTGTGTGTGTGTACACTGTGTGTGTGCACACTGTGTGTGTGTGTACACTGTGTGTGTGTGTACACTGTGTGTGTGTACACAGTGTGTGTGTACACTGTGTGTGTGTGTGTACACTGTGTGTGTGTACACTGTGTGTGTGTACACTGTGTGTGTACACTGTGTGTGTGCACACTGTGTGTGTACACTGTGTGTGTGTGTACACAGTGTGTGTGTACAGTGTGTGTACACTGTGTGTGTACACTGTGTGTGTGTATATACACTGTCTGTGTGTACACTGTGTGTGTGTGTGCACTGTGTGTGTACACTGTGTATACACAGTGTGTGTGTGTACACAGTGAGTGTACACTGTGTATACACAGTGTGTGTATACACAGTGCGTGTACATTGTGTGTGTGTGTACACTGTGTGTGTGTACACTGTGCGTGTGTGTACACTGTGTGTATGTGTACACTGTGTGTGTGTACACTGTGTGTGTACACTGTGTGTGTACTCTGTGTGTACTCTGTGTGTACATTGTGTACGTACAGTGTGTGTTACATGTACGCACACAATCAGACAAGTATTCATTCTAAATTATTGACAGGCATATGCACAAAATTTAATAACTGCAGTGAAATATACTGCATCAGATAACATCTTATTCTCTGGTTCTTTCAGTAAAGTCACGTAGAACGAAATTTAATAGAATACGACGTTTCGATTGGAACACAAGCAACCATCGTCAGGTACAACAATTGAATGAGAAAACAAACATAGTGAACTTAGAAATATAATGCAACACAACACAAGAGTCAGCCAACACAACAGTCAACACCCTACCTGGTTGATTACGTTCTTCCAAAATTGAACAATATAGTTTAGATAACATCTTATTAACAAGGAGCTATTTAAAGAATGCACCCTCTACTGAACAGTGGATGTGAAACACACAATTGTGCAATTCAAAACGAGTAGGCCTTTGCAAGTTGGCGTCTGGGTCAAAAATGTAGCTAATTCTAAACATTACCGACTAACGACACAGCTGAGATAACAGATCAATCATCGCCCACTACTGACAGGCTCTTGACAACACGCAGGCCGGTGCAGGGCAACCACCTTCTGCCACACAGGGGCAGCTGCTACTTGGGGATGCTCTTCGAGTGTTTCAGACAAGCACCATGCAACAGCAATTATGATGAGAACATCGTGAATGATTGGGGGCTTATTGGCTCTCGCTCCTGGTGAGAGATTGACTCAACCCACAGGTCCACTAAGACTGGCCACTCGTCTTGCTTCTTTCGGTAAAGTCGTCACGTAGAAGGGAAGTAATAAAATAATAAAAATAAAACAATTCTCACGACGTTTCGGCCACAACGCAAGCAGCCGTCCTCAGGTAAAAACCAGGTCTGTCGAGGTGACAGCGTCTGAATGAAACAGCACACGAGCTTGGAGCATATATATAAGCTGGGTGCCTTGACAAAGGAATTTGCAAATCAAGAGGCATTTAGCATATTTATGAGAAATGCAGGTATGTGATTAGTACTACTTATGCCCGTGCATTATGCAGAATTAGCAGCATCAAAGGAAGGGGATAGGGGTAGCATTAACAAAGGGAAGGAGTGTTAATAGTATGTAGCTGCAGTAACTGGCCACTCGCTCTTACCCTGCAGGTTGAACCTAGGAACTGAGTGTTCAACTTCACGTTATTGTCATTAAAGGCCTGTGACAAAGGTGCATCTATTGCAGCGACATCGTCTCAGGCTGACACATCTACCGGGTCTCCATTTGACTTTGTGTTGTCTAGGAAGTCCACCCACACCTCCACAAACTGCTGGGAGTTTCGATTTAAAGCTTTCGTGACTGCAGGGATTAATCTTCTTGGTTCTTTCACCTAAGGACGGCTGCTTGCGTTGTGGCCGAAACGTCGTGAGAATTATTTGATCATGTTTTATTTGTATTATTGTATTACTTCCCTTCTACGTGACTTTACCGAAAGAACCAAGAAGATGCTTGGAGTTGCCTTACTCTGCCTCACAGTCAGAATTCTCCTCCTGCTTCACGTTGCCTCCATCGATGTGAAGGTCCATTCTGGAGTTGAATCTTCATCTTCACATTTTACCTTCACTTCTTCGCTCTTCACCATCACCTCTTCACATTTCACCTTCACCTCTTCATATTTCACCTCGTTACCTTTAAAAGTGTCCAAGCTGGGATTTTCTTCCGGTTCTTGTTTGATGAGGGATGGGCTCATTGCAGCACTTTGACTTTCACAAGCTGATTTCAGACTCCACTCCTTGTGGATATTTGTTCTCTGGTGTCTATGAAGATTTGTGACTGTGCAAACGCCTTCCCGCACGGAGTGCACCTGAAGGGGTTCTCTCCCGTGTGTGTTCTCTGGTGTACTACAAGATTATGTGACTGTGAAAACGCCTTGTCACACACTGTGCACTTGAAGGGTTTCTCTCCCGTGTGTGTTCTCTGGTGTTTTACAAGATCAGATGAATGTGCAAACGCCTTCCCACACACACTGCACTTGAACGGTTTCTCTCCCGTGTGTGTTCTCTGGTGTGTTATAAGAGTAGATGACTGTGAAAATGCCCTCCCACACACACTGCACTTGAAGGGTTTCTCTCCTGTGTGTGTTCTCTGGTGTGCTACAAGAGTAGATGACTCTGCAAACGCCTTCCCACACACACTGCACTTGAAGGGTTTCTCTCCTGTGTGAGTTCTCTGGTGTGTTACAAGAGTAGATGACGTGCAAACGCCTTCCCACACACACTGCACTTGAAGGGTTTCTCTCCTGTGTGAGTTCTCTGGTGCTGTGTAAAATGTCCAGTACAATCCGTGCTGTATGCACACCGGTCGCATTGATGCCTTTTTGCACCGAGCTGCGCCGAGTGCCTTTGCTCCATCAGACCAATTATGCACAGGAAGCAACAGCTGCAGACAGAAAAAAAGAATATCCACATCATCTACACGTCAGTATCGAGGCACAGCGGAATACATATATACACAGTCACACGTGACTTACACGTCTATACTTATTCATATGTTTATGATGTAGTGAAACAGTTTCCCAAATTCATCACACGGGCTGTTATTGCACACAATGAGAGGGTGAATGGTCATAAATATGCCTGGAAGCCCTCGTATCTTCAAAATGAATGTGAACCCAAAATTCCGAGCATACAATTTTGGCTGTCTGGCTAAAAAAGAAAAATTATAAGAGCTAAATTCGGCTGACATAGCAAAGGGTGTTGAAAACAATCCTATTTGTGTTATGCAGAAATGCGTAAATTATTACTGGTAGGAACCTCCTGGTTACACCAGCCCACAGGGGATTTTGTGTCGTCGTGAAGGGAGGGGCTGGGTGGGAGGGTGGGAGGGGCTGGGTGGGGCTGGGTGTGGGTGGGGAGGGTGGGGCTGGGTGGGGAGGGGCTGGTCACCCCGTGGTGCCTTATAAAACTCAACGTTTAACCTACTCACGCCGGCTTGTGCCCGCCCTCACAGTCGGGCATATTTGCGGAATACACCACGCCGCCGTTGACCCTGCAGGCCATTGAGCGAGCAACCCGACGTTCCTACCAGCTCCCTCCGCAGCAGCAGGAATGTTGTTCAATCGCAACTTAGCGGTGTGAAGCCAGGCTCAGATGTCCTTGAATGATGGGATGAACAGATCTGACGTCAGCTGCTGCACGTGTGTGTGCTGTGCTAACTTCCTGCTTCCACTCTTATAAAGAGTTCCAGAGGAAAACTAAAATAAACTATTGTTTTGTTACAACCTCCGTGTTCATCAGAGTTAATATACTTTACACTGTCACACACTGCCCGGTTTTCCCCTCCACATTCAGCGTCTTTGACAGACAGACATTGACACACGTAGTCTTGGTTCTTTCGGTAAAGTCACGTAGATAGGAAATAAAAATAACAGATCATGAAATTAAATAAAAAAAAACACCACTTGTGTTGCGATCGAAACGTCGTGGGTTTATTCTTTATTTGCAAATTTTTTAATTTAATATTATTATCCGTTATTCTTTTTTATCTCTGTGATTTTACCGAAAGAACCAAGAATATGAATTGCTGCAGTTACTAAAGTTTTAAGTCAAAACACCGAGACACGCGTTGACAAAACCCACCTTGTTGTTGTTGTGGCAGGTAGCTTCTGTAAACAAGAGCGGTACAGCAGCTTAGGCGGGCTTGGGCTGGAAAAAAACGAAAAAAAAACTGCGTTAATATCTACAATAAACCAAAGTGACAAAGTAGCGAGCCGCGTGAAGACAAATTAAACTTAAGGGAGGGAATTAAAGCAAACGCGACCAGGCGAGGGCAGGAGGCAAGGCCCCGCGTGTCTAGGCCCCGCGTTGTAAAGTTCCAACTTGGACATCGATTCACAAGCTGCTGCTGCTCTAGTGACATCCCTACGAGAGAGAGAGCGAGGCTCTAGCTTGGTAAACAACAACAACCACAACAACCACAACAACAACAACCGCGATGAGAATTTCTCACCTCGGATTGCAGTTCACGCGCGAACCTCCAGCTTTCTGTTACCTCGTGACGTCACGCGGCAGCAGATGACATGACGTCACTTCTGGGGTACAAGACCCTCCCTCCAACAATGAGAGGCTACCCTAACTGAATAAATTAATAAATTATGTTGATGTATGCGATCATCAACATTATCAATAAACATCATTTACACCATCATATACAACAACATCAACATCATCACCACCCCTAGCATCAGCAGCAATATCATCAACATCATCAGCAACATAAACAACAACATCATCAGCATCAACAACAACATCATCAGCATCAACAACATCATCAGCATCAACAACAACATCATCAACATCAGCATCAACAACATCATCGCATCAACAACATCAACAACATCATCAGCATCAACAACAACAACATCAGCAACAACAACAGCATCAACAACAACAGCATCAGCAACACCGTCACCATCTAGAACAGAGGGGAGGGAAGACTGCGGCCTAGTCGGCCTCGGCCATCCCGAGTTTTCCTAGCGGACCCGCCGCGCCCGGAGCGCCTCCCCCGGCAGGAGTCGGGATCGAATAACGGGTCCGCCGGGCGTGCTGAACACACACACACAGTGTACACACACACACAGTGTACACACACAGTGTACACACACACACAGTGTACACACACACACAGTGTACACACACACAGTGTACACACATATTGTACACACACAGTGTACACACACAGAGTATACACACACACACAGTGTACACACACAGTGTACACACACACACACAGTGAATACACACACACAGACACACACACAGTGCACACACACAGTGTATACACACACACAGTGTACACACACAGTGTACACACACAGACACACAGTGTACACACAGACACACAGTGTACACACACACAGTGTACACACACACACAGACACACACAGACACACAGTGTATACACACACAGTGTACACACACACAGACACACACAGTGTACACACACAGTATACACACACACACAGTATACACACACAGTGTGACACACACACACACACAGTATACACACACACACACACACACACACAGTATATACACACACACAGTATACACACACACAGTGTACACACACAGACACACAGTGTACACACAGACACACAGTGTACACACACACAGTGTACACACACACACAGACACACACAGACACACAGTGTATACACACACAGTGTACACACACACAGAACACACAGTGTACACACACAGTATACACACACACAGACACACAGTGTACACACAGACACACAGTGTACACACACACACAGACACACAGTGTATACACACACACAGTGTACACACACACAGACACAGACACACACAGTGTACACACACACACAGTGTACACACACACACAGTGTACACACACACAGTGTACACACATATTGTACACACACAGTGTACACACACAGTGTACACACACAGTATACACACACACAGTGTACACACACAGTGTACACACACACACTGAGTGTATACACACACACAGAGCACACACACACTTGAGTGTATATACACACACAGTGTACACACACACAGTGTACACACACAGACACACACAGTGTACACAACACACAGTGTACACACACAGTGCACACACACACACTGAGTGTATACACACACACAGAGCACACACACAGACACACAGTGTATACACACACACAGTGTACACACACAGACACACAACACAGTGTACACACACGGACACACAGTGTACACACAGACACACAGTGTACACACACACACAGTGTACACACACACACAGACACACAGTGTATACACACACACAGTGTACACACACACACAGTGTACACACACACAGTGTACACACATATTGTACACACACAGTGTACACACACAGTATACACACACACACAGTGTACACACACAGTGCACACACACACACTCAGTGTATACACACACACAGACACACACACAGACACACAGTGTATACACACACACAGTGTACACACACATTCTACATCCAACACACAGACACACGGTGTACACACAGACACACAGTGTACACACACACAGTGTACACACACACACAGACACACACAGACACACAGTGTATACACACACAGTGTACACACACACAGACACACAGTGTACACACACAGTATACACACACACACAGTGTACACACACAGTGTACACACAACACACAGTGTAACACACACACAGACACACACACAGACACACAGTGTATACACACACACAGTGTCACACAGACACAGTGTAACACACACAGACACACAGTGTCACACAGACACACAGTGTAACACACACACAGTGTCACACAGACACACACACACACACAGTGTAACACACACAGTGTACACACACACAGACACACACAGTGTACACACACAGTATCACACACACAGACACACAGTGTACACACAGACACAGTGTACACACACACACAGACACACAGTGTATACACACACACAGTGTACACACACACAGACACAGACAACACAGTGTACACACACACACAGTGTACACACACACACAGTGTACACACACACACAGTGTACACACACAGTGTACACACACAGTGTACACACACAGTATACACACACACAGTGTACACACACAGTGTACACACACAGACACACAGTGTATACACACAGTGTACAGACAGACACACACAGACACACAGACACACACAGTGTACACACACAGTGTACACACACAGACACACACAGTGTACACACACAGTGTACACACACAGACACACAGTGTACACACACAGACACACACAGACACACAGTGTACACACACAGTGTACAGCCAGACACACACACAGTGTACACACACAGTGTACACACACAGACACACAGTGTACACACACACAGTGTACAGACACACACACACACACAGTGTACACACACACACATTGTACACACACAGTGTACACACACACACATTGTACACACACAGTGTACACACACACATTGTACACACACACAGAGACACACA